GGTGATAGGACTATAAAACATGTTTAGTTTCTAAGATAACTAGTTCAAAATACTTGGGAGTCCAACAGACCTGGGTTAGAAACCTGGTTTATAAAAGTAGTACCTGCTTTCCCCCTGCTTATTATGGGGGGGGGGAGTGATAGAGTATCAGTGAATATAAAGCGGAAAGGAAAAGTACTGTTCTCTTTCATACTTCTCAGAGATAATCAATATTAATGATTTTCAGGTATCTTTCTAAATATCTGCCGTATACATTTACATATATAATATAGCATTAGCTATGTTAATTTCAAATTTATAACATGTTCATTGTCCTTTTATAACAGCCTTCAGTAGAAATATTTTCAGAAAAGATCTAAAGAATACTCATTTAATTCCATTTTAATCTGCTCAATGTTTCTAAATTCTAGTATCTCAGTTCCTTATTTCTGCTTTTTTTCATTTTAATCTTACTACCACATTCAGGATACTGCTCCTTAGTTTTTTTTTTTTTTAAATCAGTCTTGACCTCTATAATGGCTCAAAGTTTGTTTATAAAGATAAGAAGAAAGGAAAACTAAGATAAGAAAATAGATATTAGAGGTAGAGAAGACAGAAAATGATATTTGTATTTTATGGCTTCAATCTTCTCAAGGAGGTAATTGGCTAGAAATTCTGCCAGGAATGGGGATGGTCACAGTAATTAGAAATTAAAGCTTGTGGGAAGAAGATTTAGAATTGTCCTTGCTGTCGTTATGAGGAAGGAATATTATAAGAGATTGGCATAGGATTGCCAGACCTGTAGTTGAAGATACCGGGTGACTTTGTAGAGGGCAAAGTGCTTGATCTTCTGGGACTAGGAATAGAGAAAGCTGACTGTGTAGGTCAGTTTTGGTTGGGCAAGAGTACACTAGAGGCTTATGGTATGCAGGGCATCTCTGGAAATAATAACAAAAGCATTGATAAAATTGCTTACCAGGCCGGGCGCGGTGGCTCACGCCTGTAATCCTAGCTCTCTGGGAGGCCGAGGCGGGAGGATAGTTTGAGCTCAGGAGTTAGAAACCAGCCTGAGCAAGAGCGAGACCCCGTCTCTACTAAAAATAGAAAGAAATTAATTGGACAACTAAAAATATATAGAAAAAATCAGCCGGGCATGGTGGTGCATGCCTGTAGTCCCAGCTACTTGGGAGGCTGAGGCAGGAGGATTGCTTGAGCCCAGGAGTTCGAGGTTGCTGTGAGCTAGGAAGACGCCATGGTACTCTAGCCCAGGCAACAGAGTGAGACTCTGTCTCAAAAAAAAAAAAAAATTGCTTACCACAGCCAGGCATCGGAGAATGAACTTCACATTCTTAACATGGACAAAACTATCGGTTACAAAATGTAAATCAGGATTTCAGAATCTCTTATAATACAATGGAAACATGTTTTTCCCTCCTTGAAACAGATCATCACTTTATGAAGAGCATGGTTGAATAGCTACATAACTACTCACACGTTAATTACCTTGGTATTTCTAAGTATCTACCAACAAAGCATTATTTGAGTATATATCCTTTTGTTTCTTTAGAATGTTGGGCACTTTTTTAAACACCCAAACACCAGAGACATTAGGAGAAGAGAGGAAGGGAAAGGACAGTTAGGAGGTAGCTAAAATTTATTAATAGAAATAGCCAAAATATTACATAGTGTTTTTTTCTCCATTGAAGACATTATCTGATTAAAATCCTTGTTCTGTTAGACAAATGTTACTACTGAGATTCTTTTAATATTTTGTATGGCATTAAAAAAATAATGTAGTTATTTTCTTCCCGATTTTTCACAGAGAACTATAGTTGAACTTGGCCATATGATTTAATTTTGTGTAGAAGAAATACAAAAAAGAAATAGCTATCAAGTTGATGTGACTTGGTCAAGTCTGCCAAGTATATGTGTGTCAGAGGTGAAATAGAAACTTTGGAAAACATGTGATTTGTTTTTTACTTTTGGTAGCACAGCCTTGGAAATAATTCTTGATCCATGACCCTAAGTCTTGAGAAGATGGTTCTTCTCTTCCCCAGTCGAAGTATCACTTTTTTTCTTGCTCTATGATGATTGACAGTAGAATTTTGTTTCTTTCAGGGAAGAGCTTGACTCTAACCACAAGTGTTCTGATCCACTGTCTTGCCGGATTTCAGCTCGAAATAAAGTGAGACTTAAGGCCAGATAGGGTCTTTAGAATTCCTTCATTGTGCTTTCTAGGCTCCTGCTCCCAACCTGATTACATGAGGCCTCTGAGTACTACACACACATCCCAAGAAACAAACAATTTTTAAAGACAATTCAGTCTGAATTCATGTATGTCAGGGTAATTAGTTAAGGGCATATACATCACTAAGCAGAACCCTGAACATCTGAAGCACTTGGATTTAGGTTAACAGCATCGTCACAATTTTCTCCAAGAAAGTAGTCTATTTGCTTATGTAACTAAAATGTCCATACTGGTAGTATTTTCAAAACAACAGAAGTCTGCTACAAAGAATTGATCCCTCCACTTGCAGACACATTTGGTTGCTTGTATTATAATCAAAAATGACACTAACTAGTTGAAAAAGAATTAAGACTCCAGAAGTCATTCTGTTACAGTAAAAGTTGTCCTTCCTCTCACCTGTCAAATCTTTGAATAAAATTGTCTCTCTAGTAGAGCAACTCATTTTATTCTATGGCTTTTATAAGAACATCTATCTACCATCACTCCCAACCCCTTTTAAGGTCATATTCTGCTATTTATAAGAGAAATATCACAGCCTTGAAAAAGCTTTTCCACTTTTACTCACTGCTTCACTACAGGGTTTCTTAGACGCTTTGTACCTTTTTAAACCTGGGGCTATTGAGTACCTTGCTGGAGTTGCACTGAACCCAGTTATGCCAGGGACTGACATGCATTTCTGATTTGGTGTATTTTATAGGCATCATTTTATTTCCCCTGATTTTAGTTTGTGGGATGTGTATCTCTATGTCCATATTTTTGTGTCACCTTGAAATAAAAACACAGCTCTTTTAAAGAGAATTTAGGCATACTTTTGTTATCTCAAAACAAAATACTGCCAAAATATTAGTAATTATTAAAATATATTGGTAGCTATTCTTTATTAGTTTTGGTTATAGTGTCAATGAAAAGTATACAGTGCTTTGAAATAGTTACACATTTAAAAAAATAAATTTTGATTACATTAAGCAGTCATTCTGAATTATCAAGTTAAAGCCGAATTATTCACATGAGATCTATTTTTCCATACTTTTCTGATTTTAAGGAAGAATATTGTTTGATTGGATTCAGAATTCAGGAGGGTAAGGGGCAACTAGTCACTGCAGGTCAGCTCTAGCATTAGGACTAACTAGTTGGCTGTTACTTACCTAGGGCTTCTTAATCCTGCTTTATAGAGACTGATGGAAGCATTAGTTACATGTTATTGAGTTGTTCAGTCTAAGTAGCATGGTCTAGCTGTTACAAGATTTTAATCTTCAGGGTAGTATATCATAACTTGATTTTAAAAATAAGGAAGGAATCACAAGAAAGTGTTAAAAAAGAAAACAGGGTTTACAGGACCAAAGAAATTAGTATGAATAAGATAGTGTACAAGAGAGAATAATAGAAATGAAGGGCTCTTACGGAGTCATTTAATAAATTTTTTTATTCTGCCTCCTTCACGTCTACCTTTAAGCCATTCTGGTATTCTTGATTTGCCATTTTTCGAAAATGAGATTAAAAAATAATGTGTAGATAAAAGGACTTTTGGGTAGATGATGTCAAGAGTCAGAAAGTACTCTTTCCTGAATTTCCTTTTAATATCTTTGCCTATCTCTGGTCATTGTCTGTCTCTAGTCTAAGTGTAATTATCTGAAATATTTTTAATTTCTTAGGATTCTAATTTTCAATTAATGTAAATAATGAAAATACCAAGTCATAATTATATGCTATTTCAGTGTCTTTTTGGATATAGGGAGTTGAGTGGAAACTGGAGACAATAGAAACTAATAGCAAAGAACTCAGAGCAGAACAATCAATAAATAATGATTTGTTTATCCTGCCCCATTGAAAGTATAGTTCAGAGAACCTCCTACCATCATAGAAGCTTTAAGAAATTCTACTTCTTAATTCTTTCCCTGTGTCTTCAATTATTTCACAACTTTATTTTCCAATTTAAACTTTAAGTGGTAATTGTGGTCTGCATATTTATGAATTTTTAATTGTATAGAATATTAGTATTTTTCTTCTTTAAAAAAAGCTCCATAAAGGATTTATCACTTGAGAGTTTTTTCCTCAAATGTAGCAGAGCTCTAGCAATTGTGTTTATTTAAAATAAAAGATTCCCTAGGGCAGTAGTTTTCAAGCATCATAATGATCAAGAGAGATTTTTAAAACACAAATTTTGGGAGGCCCCCGCTCCCATATTTCTGAGTCAGTAAGTCTGAGGTGGAACCTGAGAGTTTGCATTTCTTTTTCTTTCTTTATCTTTTTTTTTATTTTGAGAAAGGATCTCACTCTGTTGCCCAGGCTGGAGTGCAGTGGCATCATCATAGCTGAGTGCAGCCTCCAACTCCAGGGCTCAAGTAATCCTCCTGCCTCAGCCTCCCTAGTAGCTGGGACTACAGACATGCGCCACCATGACCAGCTAATTTTTTTATTTTTGTAGAGACGGAGTCTTGCTATTGCCCAGGCTGGTCTCGAACTCCTGGCCTCAAGTGATCATCCTGCCTCAGTCTCCCAAAGTGCTAGGATTACAGGTGTGAGGCACTGTGCTAGCAAGAGTTTACATTTCTAAGAAATTCCAAGGTGATGCTGTTATAATACTGCTAGCCCTGAAACCATACTTTGAGAACCACTGCAATAACAATATTGATTCTAGAAGTCTGAGACAGCTAAATCTAATCTGTGCTAAGTGAACACTGAGTTGCATGTAGTTCAAGCAGAGTTCTACCTATTTAATGGGTGCCAGCAATGATCATTTAATGTAGTGTTGTCTTTTTTTTTCTTTTCATAGATTGGAGCATACGATCAACAAATATGGGAAAAATCTGTTGAACAAAGAGAAATCAAGGTAACAAGTTTATTTCATTTTATCCTGAAACATACTTCTTTGAATTGATTATTAGTCACATTTTATGTAATATTTTTTCATATACGTTTAAGGTGTAAAGTAATAGTCACGTAAACTTTTAAATAAAGAGGTAAGCTCTTTTAGGATGGCATAATCAACGTGTCTTCACTTCTGATTTTTTTTTTTGCTTTTTATCATCTTTCTGTTCTTTTTAAATTTAATTTCTAATTATTATTCTTTGTCAGCTTTTTTCCCCTTTCACTTGTCACCTTATACT